CGAAAAATCCAAATTTCCAACCGATGTCCGTTGGAATTTTTTTTTAAAATTTTTAAAATAATTTCCAACCGGCATCCGTTGGAATTCGGTTGGAATTTTTTTTAAAAAAATTTCCAAAAAAAATTCCAACCGGCATCCGTTGGAATTTTTTTTAAAAAATTTTCAAAAAAATTTCCAACCGGCATCCGTTGGAATTCCGTTGGAATTTTTTTTTAAAATTTCCAAAAAAATTTCCAACCGGCATCCATTGGAATTGTTTTCTAACAAACATCCGTTGGAACTCCGTTAAAAATTTACAACCGATTTTTCCAACGTTTATCCGTTGAAAATTTCCAACGGATATCCGTTGGAAATACCGTTGGAAATTTCCAACCCAATTTTTCAATTGAATACGTTGAAAATTCCGTTAAAAATTTCCAACGGGTATCCGTTGGAAATTTTCAACGGAATTTTAACGGAAATCGTCGTTGAAACGCCGTTGGAAATTTTCCGTTGGAATTCGAGGATTTTTTTGTAGTGAACGTCGAAATCCAAGTTAAGGTTCAAACATACCCAAAACACATACGAATCCCTAATCCATAGCCGTGGATCTACTCACAGTTCATAGAAAATAACAAAAAGCTCATAAAGAAAGAGATAAAAGAGAGGAAAGAAAGTCCCGTGAACTTTTATTATTCTCTCACCAAAAGCTCTCCAAAAATCTGTCTCTAAGTGTTCTCTAAGGGTCTCTGATGTTCTAGGACGTGGCTAGGGCTTTTTTATAACCCTAGGGCGGCTCCCAAGAGTCCTATTCCCGATAGAACGCTGAAAATCGCGAAATAGGATTTTTAGACTGGATCCGGACCGATTCCAGGTGGATTCGGACCAGATCCAGATTTCTAGGCTCGAGCTCAGCTGTCTTGATTCGGACCGGATCCAATCGGATCCGGCCCTGGACTGGCAGTTTTCTGGTCTTCACGATTTTGCTCATATCTTTCTACTCCAGTGTCGGATTTATGCGATTTTGGTGTCTACGCGAAGCTCTTGAAGTGCTCTATCCAATGGTACAAGTTCGCATGATTTGGATTTCTGTAGAGAAAGTTATTGATGTCGAAACATGAGTACCTCATCCGGACTTCTCCTTTAACGCTCCAAATGTCTCCTTTTCGAGTCCAATCATCTTCGAAACCTGTAATCTGCAAAACTAAAGTACAACCGGGTTTTTGTGTCCTAGCACGTCTAGAATGTCTATGAATGCATGTGATTATCCCGTAAAACCTAGACAAACTCTTATCAAAATATAGAGAAAAATAGAGGTGTTCACACCCGCAATGCTGCGACTAGACTTCCTTGACATCGCTCCAGCTCGAGTAAGAGACTCGAGGGGAAGAAGAGATGGGGCACCGACCCAAGGCAATGAAGGTCCATCAACATTCGCCCCCGATCCTCGAGTGGACCTCATCCTGCAGAAGCTAGAAAGCTTCGACACCCGCCTCACCATCATCGAAGAGCTAGGCCCCCGACTCACATCGATCGAAGAATCAATGGAGGACCAGTTCTCCACTCTAGCAGCAACTTTCACCGCTTCTATCGAGAGCACTCAGCGTGAGATCATCCGCGCAATGGAGAGAATGATAGATGATGAAGACTCCGACGCGGGAGAATCAGTCCAAGGAAGTGACACTGAAGCCTCATCCGCATCAGTAACCAGCAAGGGGAGCAAGAAGACGACACCTTGACTCGATGATCATTAGGATAGAACGCTCTATGCTTTCGGTTGAACTATGTTTAGTCATGTTTTTATGACCCGTGACTTGTGTTCTTCTTTTTGGATCTTTGGGCATTTATACGATGTTTTAACATGTTTTAAGGGTTATCAATCCTATCAGAAATCGGTTTAGCAGCGTCTCCTCGGGTTTTGGCTCGAAAAATTTTCTCACAGACAAAATGGGCGGATAGCTCGTTTTTTCGAGCGGTCGCAACGGGCGACTCGCTCCTCCCGAACCTCAAGTATCGAGCGATCGCCTAAGCGGTCGCCTGGAATCATGCTTTTCGACTCATCAAAACGAGCAGTCGCTCGCCTTTTCGGGCGACCCGCCCGTTTTCTCTGACCAATTTTCGACGTTTTTAGTTGTTTCAGATGGATTCCAGCAACCGTTGGAGAAGAGCACGGAAATATATTTCGGACACAATACCGGAGTTACAAGACTTCAAACCACAAAGTGCCCACTTTTCAAGTCTTGTGGATGCAATCCCCGAGCAAGAACACGAGGAACCGATCCAACGAGGAGGCACTTCTTCTACACCAAATCCAACAGAGGGAGATCTTCAAAATTCGTGCCGTGGCATTCAACCGAAGTAACTCTATGAGAGGATCGAATGTATATTCCAACTCGCCGGATGGGAACGTCTACTCTGCGCCAACCCCCGCACATACCGTTCATTGACAACAGAATTCGCCTGCACCTTCCAATGTTTCATCTCAAGGAACGCCGACCCTCGCAGCAGCTACATCGGATTCCGTTTAGAAGGGCGCCAATACTATCTCAAGATGGAGCAACTCACTCAAATTTTGGGCGTTCAAGCGGGCAACACGGCGATAATCCCGAAGATCATGATCGCCAAGGCTAGGAACTTCTGGACACCAATAGCAGCCGCGACCTTCACTCCTTGGCAACACGAGGCCTTCATGATACGACATCCTGCAGTCTGCTACCTCCAGCAATTCATGGCATCCACCCTATTTGCACGAGAGGATACGCAAACCGTCTCCATCACAGAACTAAACATGCTCATGGAACCTCTCCACTTCATGATGAACAACCGTTTAGAGGTTGCGGACATCGCGTCAAGGGTAGCACTACATATGCACAAAGTAATTACCTCAACCACCGAGTCAATTTGTTTTGGAGGAATCGTAACCATGATTGCGGAGCGAGTGGGCATCGATCTTAGAGCATATGCAAAGATAATCCAGCACGCTCAGCTTTGGCATGACCCGTGTTACGGACGATCGATGTCTTGACAGACGCTCTAGTAATGGGAGGTACACGCTCAACATTACATAAATAAGGGATTTTCGAAACCACACTTAGATCAAGCATCTACTTTCAAGCTATGAGAACCACCATTTCTCCATCTTGCCTCACCAAGATAGCACGGCACACCCAGCTTTGGCATGGCCCATGACACGTACGATCGAGGCCTTGACAAGTGCTTTACAAGTAGAGCTCCTAGATCTAACCGGTTTCTGTGTAACGATTATACATAATCCGAACAGACCATCCATTCGATTATGTAATCCCAATCCCGAAGCTCCCACTCAATCAAGCATATCTAATATCTCGATTAAGTTGCATGCATTCATTCACTATGGACCATCCAAATGAACGAATCATGTCTATTTGAGTTACAGTCGATCAGATTAAGCAACGATTTCATAATCGGACTTAGAAAACGAAAAATTTCGAAATCTGGACCTCGGGCCGTCCATTCTGGATGTAGAACGGACGTTCCAAGCTTGGCAAAACGAGCGCTCTCGACTTTAGAAGCCCGAACGGACGTTCCACTCCGAGACAAGTCGGAACGGACGGTCCGCAGCAGATGGAACGGACGGTCAAGTGCGGACCTTCCGTTCTGATCTGTGCAGTCCGCCACCCCTGGATCCGTCCGGTCTGGCATACCCAGAACAGACGGTCTAGGGTACGTGATCAGATCACGTTCTTCTGCTTTCTCGGCCCCGATCAGACCCGAAACTGATCTGAATTCTTCTGTACACCCAAAATTCGAACTCCTGTACTCTATGCAACTTGAAACATGCAATCTACAGTAGATTCAATCATCAAACATGCATATAAATCTAAGCAACCATGGATTCAAACAATTCAAATCCTAAAACGTACGTGATTGGGTTCTACGAAATCAAAACAGAGCAACCAGGCTCTGATACCACTGTTGGGTTTTCTGGGATCTCTAGAGCGAATCTTATTCCTAAGAGATCGCACTACAAAAAAACAGTTATATAGAGACGGAAAAATCCGTCGCAAATACAAAGGAAATCCGTCGCAATTAAGAATTTGTGACGGAATGCGACAGACTTATTTCCGTCGCTATAGCGCTGTCGCAAACGTATAACGGTCGTTAATCCGTCGCATTTTTGCGACGGAAGAAATCTGCATTTTGCGATGGAAAGTGACGGATAATTCCGTCGCAAATTGCGACGGAATTTTTTCCGTCGCATTCCGTCGCAAATGTTTTAAAATTTTTTAAAAAAAATAAAAAAATTATATACTATATATACACGTACATATATACATTTTCACATACACATACACCTATATACACATACATTCATACACAAACATTACACACATACAAATATATATACACATACATACATATATATACACATATATTTTCATATACACATACTCATATATATACACAAACACACATACACATTCACACATATACACATATACACATACATAAATACTCATATATATATACATTTCACAAACACATACACATACACATAAACACACACATATACACATATATTCATATACACATACAATCACATATACATACACATACATATTCACATTCACATATATACACATACACATACATAAACACACACACATACACATTCACACATATATACACATTCACTTACACACATATATAAACACACACATATACATTCACACATATATATACACATTCACACACAAACATACATACATACATACAATACACACACATTAACAACACATAAACATACATACACACAAAATATACATACACATATATA